TTTATAAGGGGGGAAGGCTGTAACACCCCGGTGTTATGCCTACATTTAAGCACTGCAAATCACGCATATCATGCATCATCAAGCATCCAAATCCTACGTGCTTAATCATGTGCATATCAATTGAAACATTGTTTTGAAACAATTGAAACGTGCGTGAAACCTGAATGTTGCATACACCGGTTTAAGAATTGTTTTGCCCTGATTTTGCTTGCTAGGGTAGTAGAGCTTGTTTGGTTATAATTATAAATCATCTAGAATTGTTTATCACAATTTTTGGAGCAAGGTTTGCATTTGAATTATTGCCAAATTTTGCTTTAAAAATAATTCTTCAAAAATTAGGGTTCAAGTCAAAATTGACTTTAATTGTATAATTCAAAATCTATAATGAATTGGACGTTGGTCTTAAAATCAAAGTTGTAGAGGATAAAATTTTGAGCAACTTTTATTTTTGGCCCAAAGTTTGAAACTGCTTTGATTTAGTCCAAAAATTCGTTTGAATGGAAAAGGAATTCAAATTTATTTGAAAAATCTTGTTTTTACCTTCGTGGGCCTTGCGCCTCGTTTCAGCCCTTTGCCTTAGAACAAGCCCAGTAGCCTTGACAAACAAGCCCGCTGGCCAGCTTATCATCGCATCTCGGCCCGTATTGACCCAGCCAACAATGCCGTCCCCCCGCTTTCATGCGCCACGCCACGCATCCATGCAGAAAGCGTCCGCCAGCGTGGCACCGTGATGTCGGCGTCAACCGCCCAGGGCACCTGGCTCGACATCGCGCCACGCGCCCGCCTTCACCTTTGATGCGCCTTTCGCTCACTGCGCCCGCTTCCTCTTCTCCCCTCCAGAGCCGAGAGCTCGAGCTCCGCCCTCGCCGCGCCCGCCGCTCCGCCGGCGCCAAGCTCTCGCACCGCCGCGTCATTTTCCGATTGCTCGCGCCCACAGCCGCGCCTCGCCTCCCTTCGGCTCACGCTTTCGCGCTTGCGCCGCCTTAAACCACAGGTGAGCTTCCCGCGCCCGCCGCGACGTCCATGGCGCCGCCGTGCTCGGCGTGGAGCGCCCTCTTCCTCCCCTTCTCAGCCGTGCTTAGCTGCCTGCTCGCTTTCGCCATGGCCTCGCACACCTATTGCGCTCGCTTGCTTGCGCTGCCATGGCCGGAGGCGATGCCGCTGACGCATTGGCGAGCAGCAAGTCGTCGGCACAATACAGGTAGCGCCAAGCAAGGCGCTCGCTGCCTCGGTTGGCAGCCGAGTTGGTAAAGTAGGGGTTGACGCCTAGGGGGCGTCTTCTTTCCCCTCGGCGCTCGGGCCGCTTGAGGCGGTTGTGGCCGTGGGGCAAGCTGTTCCCCACGGGCCGCCCGATGAACGCTTAAGTGAATTGATTTTTCATTATTCTTTATTATTTGAAATCTGAAATGGTTTGAAAAATATTTGGATGGTCAAACTTGCTCCAAATTTATTGAAACAAATTTTGCTAGGTTCCTTATCACCAGATCTACTTGGGAAAATTATTGCATGTCATTTTTGAGATACTTTTCTATAGGATTTTATTTAATCATGTAAATTGCTGATAACTTGAAAAATGTGTATAAAAATATATAGGCTTCAGAAAAATATGATTTCAAGTTTGTTCATCTTCTTATGTCATGTACTTCCTAAGAAAAATAGGTTTCATGCATGTGCTGTGGGAAAATTTTGAGGTGTAGTTCAAGTCCCTTTAATGGCTGATTTTTGTTATTTTTGCTAAAAAGCCAAAGTTGCATAAAACATGCATCTGATAATTTTTGTACAGTCATTATATGCTATTAAGAACCTAGAAAAAATATTAATTCTGTTGTTTGACACTTTTCATAGTACAAAGTAATTTCATGCTCATTTTTATGCTATAGCTTGTCATTTTTGTGTAGGATAGTTTACTTATCCAAATGCTATGAAATTTTTATGGTAGTCTGTTTAGGGTAGTATTATGCTACTGTAATTTTCTCAGATTTTTAGGAGCATCAGAAATATATGTTGCTATTCAAACCTATTATTAATTAGGGTTTAAGCAAGTGTTGTTTTAAGTGTGATTAAGAAATTAGTAAAGCTTTGGTGTATCTTTGAAGCATTTCATAAGATATGTTAACTTAACATATTAGTAGTAGAAGAGAATGCAGTAGATGACGTGTGCTTGTAGTATAGTTTCTTGGATGATGTTGACTACCTTGCCTTTCAACATATCCATTGCATTCATCTCCTTCGATGCACCGATTGCATAGGCACTTACATGCATTGCATCATACAGGATCGCAAACCGAGAACCCAGTCGTCATTCTCGAGGAGCCCGAGGAGCGATTCGAGTGCGTGTGCAGAGAAGTGCCCGGCCAAGCGAGGAGGGCGTTGAAGAACTTCCGAGTGCCCGATCACCGTCGAGCTCCTTCGAGAGAGGCAAGCCCGAGCATCTTTCTCCGGTTTGCAATGATTTCATTAAATACTTTACTTAAATTGATGCATTACGTTTAGGAGTTGTTTGCAACGTTTTTGCATTATACCTTGTTTACCTTTGTTATACTATATCCTTGTTACCCGGTATCCGCAATGAGTCAATGCTTGCTTATTTGGCTTAGACCGGTAGAAGTCGGGTGATTTCTGTCACCTGCGAGCTATAGGTGGTTACCCGGATCTGCTTGGATGGCTATGAAGTCATGGTATAACTAAGTGTTAAATGAAGTTGAGACCAGGCGGAGACTTGCGAGTTTTGGACCGAGTGTTTCCGTGCGTGTCGATTAAGGACCGACCGTTGTTGGGCCTCGAGTCATGTTGAACGCATGCCTTACATTTAGTTGGGCGGATAAAGTACCTTCCGACCATGGCGGTCGGGAGATTTTCGGGCCGAGTAGATTGCTGCAGCTGACGCCTTGTGTGTGCAAGCGGTGTGGTAGGACACGGGCGGGATGATAAGACCAAAGTGCAATCGGTCGGCCCCGGTACATGTGGTTCTGACAAACTCGAGATACGGAAAGTTGACTCGGTGATCAATATCTCACTTTAGCGAGTGAGTAAGATTTGTGTAAGGAATAAATCACCATTTGGTTAGGGAATCGATTGAATCGCCATCGCTCTGGATAGTGAGTACTTGACTTGAGTGACTTCATCGTAGTAAATGTTTATGGAACACTTGGACAAGGTTATAGTGAATATGACAAGTATGGAAGTTGTTTAATGATCGGGGTTATCATTAATTGCTTAATCACATGTTTACTCTAGTATAGATGCAAATCTAGTCGATAGGTTAATAATAATTAAGTTGACAATAATGCCTTTGAAAAGTTCTTGAAATGCTAAAAATGCTTCTTTTACGCAAATGAGTCACTACCCTACTATAAAGCCCTTCATAATCCTTGGTGTCAATTATTTTTCGGTTATGTCGGGTAAGTCCATTTGAGTACCTTCTCGTACTCGGGGTTTTATTCCCACTTGTTGCGGATGGCGAGATGTATTACGGCTATTGTATCAAGCGCCTTTATCCTGCGATGGTGATGCTTAGGACCATGGGCATGGAGTGCGTTCCTTATGTCTCATCTCGATGCTTTTGTTGGAGATGATCATTCATTTGGCACTCTATTTAAACTCCGTGTGTGTGTAGTTTGAACAAATGAATTCGCTATTTTCATTCGAACTGGTTTGTAATAACTATGTTGAAACTCTGATGTATTTGAGATCGCGAACTTTTATGTAATATGTGATGGTGACCGCTAAACTTATTACGATCATGGCTGGGACACGAGTTGGTTTGAAATCCTTTGTGATTTCACGGACTACCGGGTTATACGGGCTTAAGTTTGTTCAATCGTCTGCTCTAGTGGATGATTCTCTTACTTAATTTAAATTATAATTGGTTGATTACATATAAAGTAGTTGTAGGAAGGAAGCCACGGTGAGGTGCTTGCGGAGAGAGAGAGAGAGAGAGAGAGAGAGAGAGAGGGAGGGAGAGGTGTGCGGGCGCCCGGGCGGGTGGGGTGTGCGGGCGTCTCCCTCAGATACCGCATGTTTTCTTTTAAGCATTTCCGTTATATTATAGGTATTAGAAAGTACTTCCTCCGTTTTAAAATAGTTTTCACTTTAATTATGAATATGAACATTATCAAGATTTATAGCTCTCTAACTATTTTGGTATCATGGTATGAATGGAGTAGTAGAATGCAGGGCGTGCTGTGCTCAACTGACGTGACGTAGACCTTCTGCCAACCGCTGTTGGCAAGTAACCAGTGAAACAACGACTTAAGAAAGTCGAGTCCTCACTGACACAAGTGTGTTACTAATTAATTAACAAGTAGTCACACAGTTGGTAATGCCGCATGGTCCTCATCTGTGACTGTGTTCTATGTAGTCATTTCCAGGGCTTCTGTTCTTCGAAATCAAATATTTTATTTAAAATCAGGACAATGCAAACGACTAGTATGTTAAATCCGCAATCCACGGCTGGGGAAACTCCAATCATGTACTAACAATATTGAGATTGGCTTGGCCTCAGAACTCGATTGCATGCGGGTCCCATGCCACATCGGCAGATCCTGGGAACTCTCTCGGCCACAAGCTCCCCGTGGGTCCACCGCACTCACAGGCCGGCTCTTCTTCCTCCCGTGAACCTGAGGAATCGCGAGTGGCGTGCTGAGTGCTGACATTATACCAGGGTACAAACCGACACTGGACCTTCACGGGCTGCACCGCTAGCTGCCTACTCATGACGTTCTCATGCCTGACTCCATGCTAGCAGACTCCTGCCTTCTCTTGATATTGCAGATCGATGGCCACACTCACTCCTCTTCTCTCAGACTCTCACCGTGTTAGCCCCAACGGCAACCGTAGTACCCCTCCCCCTCTATAAATACCCCCGACAGGGACGGCAGCTAGCAACAATCGCAAACAAACATCTAGCCACACAATATCACCCACACCCGGTCAGTACAGTCACGTAGAGTGGTAGAGACTAGCTAGCTAGCTCATCTGTCGCGAAGACCGGCGACGACATGGCGAGCAGCAGCAAGTCGTCGTCCTCGAGCTCGCCGCAGCTGGTTGCTGCCGCGCTGCTTGTGGCCGCCGTGGTGGCGGCGTCCGTCCTGGTGGCGGCGGAGGCGGTGTGCGACATGAGCAACGAGCAGTTCATGTCGTGCCAGCCCGCGGCGGCCAAGACGACGGACCCGCCGGCGGCGCCGTCGCAGGCGTGCTGCGACGCGCTGACGGGCGCGGACCTCACGTGCCTGTGCGGCTACAAGAACTCGCCGTGGATGAGCGTCTACAACATCGACCCCAAGCGCGCCATGGAGCTCCCCGCCAAGTGCGGCCTCGCCACGCCACCCAACTGTTAGTGCTAGCCAAGCTAAAGGAAAGGCAGGCATTGGTGTCCTTGTACGTGTGTTATTGCATTGTTGTGTGTACATCTGCAGCAGGCTAGCTGCAGGGCCCGTAATAACATGTTCTTGTCGTGTGTGTGCTCCATGCTGGCGTGCGTGTCTATTTTGTGTGCGTCGTGTCGTTCGTACATATAGATGCCCGTGGCTGGCATGGTTTGACTGTTTGTGCGTACGCGCACATGTGTGATGTGTCACTAGCTAGCTTGTCATTGTACTCGGTCGTGTGTGTGCCATATGCCGGGCAAGTTGCATCTTGTGCCCTCGCTCGCTCGCTCTCTCTCTCTCTCTATAATATAAAGAATGTTCTTCATCCTAAGTAAACAGTACTACTTCGTTGTCTTCGATCTCAGGTCAATTTGTGTGTGCAACAACTACTTGATCTCTAGCATGTACGAGGCATTATTATATTGTTTAACTTCATTGGATTAACATGTGATTTCTAGATGAAGTGATTAGGGATGATTATTATTCTAGTTAACTTTTTATCTAAGGTAAGCTTAGGGTGTGTTTTGACTGAGGACAAGGTTAGATGGTCATATCCATGCATGTTTACAAAAGATATAGTTATCCAAGTTGAGTGTTTGGTGGGATGACGATGGGATGAGCAAGTTTTATTGATTGGATGGATGGGAGTAGATGTCATAAGAATACTTAGCTAATCATATTTTTAATTAAAATAATAACAACTAACAATATATTAATAAATATGTGCTAGCACTATTTTTGTTATTATAGTTACTACTCTACGTTCCAAATTGTAAGTCGTTCCGACTTTTCTTGGTACATAGTTTTTGCTATGCACCTAGCTATACATTATGTCTACATATACAGTAAAAATTATGTACCAAAAAAGCAAGAACGAGTTATTGTTTGGAACGAATGGAGTGATGCAAAATAAAATAAGATAATTAGCACTATTACTACCTTAATTGGCACACAAATCATGTACTAATCAGCGTATGTAGTAGCACACTTATAAACCAATCTTGTCATCATAATTACCCAGTAATAATATAATATACTAATAGTCCTTAATTTATTTAGTAACAACCAAGATTACAAAATGTGAATGAGTTCATCCAGCCATTTTTTTGGTAGCTATAGCTCATACAATGGGAATATTCTTTCTAGGTGGCCGCTCCATCCAACTTGCACGTGAACAAATGCTTTAGTATTGCTTCTCTCACTCATCCACCACACACATTATCTTTTTGCTCAAGAACTTCAAAAGCTTTCTCTTCAATTTTCATGAACAGCTCTAGGCCGTCTGAACATAATAAACGACGATCTCACAAGCACACACAGGCAAACAAACATTGAACAAATAAAATACAAGTTTTAGGGGCATTTCTGCAGAGAAAACGGTTTTTGAGTGATTTGGACGAGACAGTTTATTTTGGATGTAAAAATGATGAAACCTAAGGCCTTTCTGCAAGAGTGCGCCGGCCCCTGCGGATAGGCCCTCCACGGTTTACCTGGAGCGCGTTTATTTGTCATCGCGCTGATGGCGCGGTTCTTGAGGACCGGAAAGCGGCGGCGGCGCTTATGCACAGAGCGAGGCACGATTCCATGTGGGAGAAACCTGAAGCCTGAACGCGTCTAGCTCAGACATCTCCTCGACGTGCGGTCCCGCTCTGGAGGGCGCTCGGTTGAGTTTCAAAATTTACCAAGGATCTGACAAGTTATGATTTTGGTTGGTATTTGGTTGGCTGCTAAAATTTGCTAACTTCTCACATTTGGCTTATTCAATCTTTAGCAAAAAAAAAAAAAATTCAATTTTTAGCTGCTAAATTATTGGCCTGGCAAAATTTGGTCGCAACCCCAAACAGGCCCGGAATGGAAGGAGGCGCGGCCGCGGTTCCCGCTCGGGTTCCGTCTCCTGCGGCCGGGAAGAACCAGAGAGACAGAGGCGCTGGACCTTTGCTTCCTCTGGGCTGTTCAATGAGTTTCGGCCCAACTAGTTAGGAGCGTGGGCGGCTGAGAAACAAAAGAAAGGACCAAGCCCACGATGGAAGCAGGAGTAGGCCGAAAAGAATATGCCACGGGAAAAAAAAATCCGAAGAGGACTTTTCTATTACCAGGATTTTCAGAACTCTGATTTAAAGGTTCAGATAAAACAATTTTATACCTTTTTCCTTGGTAGTTTTTAGTTAGGTTTGTTGATCCTGCTGATCTAGAGTTTGGTTTCTGGTGGCATCGACGAGGTGGAGGCGACAATGGTGCTTTGGAATAATGTCTTTTAGGCCTCTCTCTCTATACCTCGGCGAGTGAGAGTTTGATGATTCAGATCCATTGATCTCCTTTAGATTTTGGCATTCTGTGCCCTTATGAGAGGAAGCAGTTGGTTGGCTTTCGATGTGGCAATCTTAACCACTTCTGTTGGTCTGCTCTATAGCAAGGTCTAACATCTTCAAAAGTTTGTTCTAATGGTGAAGGATTGTAAGCCTGCGTTTCTTGAAGGGTTCCTCCAGCCGATGTTCTTGAGTGGGTACTAGATCTCATCGTCAACGACAAGTGGCTATTGCGGTCTTCAAAGCCATATATAGCGAGCGTGTTTGCAAGTGTCCCTTTTCTTTGTTGTCTCTTCAGTGCGATATTTAAGCTCCAGCAGCTAGTGGATGACCGAAAAAAGAAGACAACCAAATCGGTCTTTAATGTTGTCGGGGACTAATATTAGGGTACCCGAAGGGGAGGAGCTAATGACCGTCAACGTTGATTCATCCACACGATCAAGAGCGCGACTACACCGCTTGCTAGGTCACTCCTCGTCCGTCCACCGAGACCATGGGCCCCGCCTCAAGCTGACGCCTGAGGACTGGCTCCGCCTCGCCCGACGTCTAAGGGCAGACTCCGTCTCGCCCGACCCCCGAGGACTGGCTCTGCCTCGCCTGACATCTAAGGGCAGACTCCGTCTCGCCCGACGACCAGGGGCTGGCTCTGCCTCGCCCGACGTCTAAGGGTAGACTCTGTCTCGCCCGACCCTCGAGAGCTGGCTCCGCCTCTCCCGACGTCTGAGGGCAGACTCTGCCTCGCCCAACATCCGGGGGCTGGCCCCGGCTCGCTCTCGACGCTCGCGCTGCTCCTTCATAACTACGCGCGTAGATAAGTCAGGGCACTCAAGTCAACCGCAATATCGAGGATCATACCCTGCACGCCTGCAGGAAAGTACCGTCAGGATATGACAAGACTGACGCTTTAAGCCCTTCCAGGCATGTCAGAGCCCTAACAGTGTTGTAGGCGCCGACATTTGTCTTACAGCGTTGTGGCCGCCGCCATTTGCTCTCGGGCGCGGATCCTGACCCGCATACAACAGCCACTACTGTCCAGGAGGAAACTCGCACCATCTACAGTAACGGACGTGCGGTCACTATGCCGTCTGCTCCCCGTAGGGTTGTGGATCAGCACCCTAGTCCATCGCGCCGCCCGCTAGGGTGGGATGGGATGTAACCACTTGCTGACAAAGCCAGAACATGGCATCATCAGTGGACAGACGCCCAGCGTGGCCCTATTAGGATCAGTGGACATGCACCCAGCATGGAGCTATCCCTAGCACCGTCTACCGTGTCAGCAGGGCTCGCTCAGAGGAAAAGGAAGACCCGACATCTTTGAAGGACCTCCTTTGCCTCTGATTTCTCTTCTTTCTCCCATCTGCAATCCCTGCTTCCCCTTGGTCTATAAAAGGGAAAGCAAGGCACCCCACTAAGGAGCCCGATCGATTCAAGGCACCATGCATCACATTACACACAGCTGAGCAGCAACCAAGCTCTCGGCATCCATTCGACCTTTTCATCAGAGACTTAGGACCTGTTCCTCTCTCACCCCTTTGTAACCCCTACTATGAACTTTTCAATACTAATAATACGAGCAATATCCACGAACTAGACGTAGGGACACTATGCCCGAACCAGTATAAACCTTGTGTCTTTTTAGCACACCATCCGGGCCAAACGCGTAATAAACAAATTTACTTCGTTGGTGTTTACTCGAAACACCGACAGTTGGCGCGCTAGGTAGGTGACCTTTGCACGTTCCGACATTAACATCAAGCCACGGATGGCTAGCCACGGTATCAGCTGGGTCTCGGGTGCACACGTGCGCTTCGGTGACCTAGACCTCATCATCACGGTGGGAGGAGAGTTGGCATTGGCTCACACCGCCATTCAACCTCTCCCCTCCATCGGCCTCGACTACAAGAGGCTTGAGCGCTAGCTTGGCGTCTCCCTAGGACCCCAGTCGTCAGGGAGGACCCACGCCACCTCACCTTCTCTGACACCAACAACATGGCGTGGCTCATCGGAGGGGAACCCTCTCTCCGAAACACCTTATACGGAATGCCCCGACAGTGCTTCCATTCGGTCTCGGCAACGCTACGGCGACCGTTAGCCACCTCATGGCACAACGCATGGTTCCACCTCCCACGAACGACGAATTTGTGGGGGTAATCGAACACGTCATGGAATCTTTCCACGACCTCCTGGCAGAGGAGCCAGAGTCGCCCTCTGGCTCTAACTCCAGCAGGGGAAGCCATCACCCCTCTCGTGAATGCTTCATGATGGGTACCCCCGAGGGGCACGTCGGGAGCGTCCACGAGGGGGAGGCTACCCCAGCAAACGACCTTGACGATGAGGCCAAGAGGGAGATAGAGGCCTCGCCACGCATGCCGATGGAGCAGCTGAAAGCCCGACACCGAGAGATCGAGGAAGCACGACTCCAGCTCGAGCAGGAATGCGCGAGCTCGATTAGGAGATAGAGCGCCGCGGAGATGGTGGGCGCGCACGCGCCATGGCCCGCAACGTGAACTCGAAGGATCATCGTAGACGATGAAGCCCTCCCTCGCTTCGTCCGGGCAAGCCAGAACATCGCCGTGGCGGCGGCCTTGCTCCATGGCCTTTTAGAGGGCTGCGACGCCCGAGGATCGTCAGACCCACCGCGAAATTGTGTGAAATTGTCTATATAAATATTGCAATTAAAAATGCGAGGAACCACACGAATATGGTTCGGTTCAAGTAGTAACGAGTGAATAGATCACATGTAACGAGTCAAACTCGTGATAATATAGCATGCCCATTATTGCAGACGCCTTTAGTTTAAATGGAAATTAATAGCACCATGAATAAGCAAAATGCCTCCAGGTAAGCTCGGAGAACTCTTTGGTAAGCAGCTGTACCCTTTGGCAAGTAAGTTAACTACCACTCCTGTCAAGAGAATATTAAGGCAATTTAGGTCTTATTTATTGAAAATAATTAGAGAAAATAACGGACATTGATCTAGCGCTAATTAAATTTATTTTTGACGTGATGCATGAGCGAAACTGTGAATGAAGGTTGTGTGATGGGTCAATGGATTACTATGCCAACATAAAAACAAATGGATGCATATAGTGAACCCACAAATGGATGTGAACCGAAAATGTTTTGTTTCACATGAAACAAGGCATGCAAACTGTTGGGAATAAATCACATGCAATGGATCCAACTAAAATTATTATTCATGGTACTTTGAATAGAAATTTATCCACCTTTATAGCACGGCTTGGTCCTGTGCCGCTGTGAGCATGGCTTGGTCCTATTCCGATGCATGATATCAGGAGATGGCATGCATGAGAATGAGCACGAGGACACGGTCTTGCGCCGCTGCATGGGCCTGTGGAAGCGGCGCGAGTGCGAACAAGGCGTTATAGAGTGCTTATAAAAAGGCATGAAAAAGACCAAATGGTTTCAAGTACGCATCCATAATACATTACATCATTGTTACTTCCTGGTCAATCATTAGTACTACAGACAACGCGATATGGAGGGAACAAGGAATGAATCTGGGAAGGAAGAAATTGAGGACAAAAGGCAAAATGGAGTGGGCATCGGCAAGGGAAAGGATGGAAAGGTAATAGCTTGCATTAATCCATTATGTTTTGTTTTGATTGTGAGTTTTGTGATGAGTATACTAACAAAGTTTTGAATCAAAAAGAAAGAAGAGGTATACAACTGGCGGTACTGGCATGGAATACAAGTTTATGAGGAGCTATGCCTGGTCGATGGCGAGTTACCACCACTTTTGGCACGGAATGGATCAACCAAGGGTAAGTTAACCAAGGTGAGTGGTGATCCACAAGACTTTAGTTCGTTAAAGGGAATATTATACAGAGGTTATGAGAGCTAACAGTAGGTGGTCAATAAAAACATGCAGGATCAGGTAGAGGAGGACAGGGAAGAGGCTACAAGTAAGAATCAAAAGATTAGATAAAAATAACAAAAAAAAGAGCAACAAGGGCATTGATGTATTCAAAGGTAAATGTTGTGGTCGCTGGCGCCGTCCACCAATCGCCCGGTCAATGTCGTCGTCGCCACCTCGTTGGTGTGCCAAATCCAGTTGAGGAGTGCCAAAAATAGGAATGGTAAAAAAATAATGTTTGCATTCAAGGTCCACTGATGGTTGCGGACAACACAATTTTGAAGGGTGAAATACTCATGCATGTAATTAATTAGAAGTGTTAGACAAATGGTCATGCATGTAATTGATTATAAGATGGAAACTCGTGTTGTTTTCTTGAATAATACATTTTTGTAAGGTGCAATTTGACACGTTTAATTTAGCTTTGTCGAGGAACATGGTAAATTGGATGGTGTAAGCTTAAATCTGTTTAGTACGAGCAGGATTTCCAATTTGACACTAGATTCATTTATATATCCGACTGCACTTTCAGTACGTCCGTGTGTTAAATAATTCTCCATTTCCTTCTTAAATAATTTTCTATTTCATCCTTCAATAATTATGGCCTTTTTGTAAGGTTTCCTCCTTTTACAGTGTTGCCAATGTAAGGTTGTCCATCCATTTTCCTAAAAAGTGGAAAAACTTTCAATCTTTATATGTGGACTTGACTTTTCTAATCTTAAATTTTGGAAGAAAATCATTGTTGTCACTCCTCAAATAGAAAAAGTCACTTTTGCTACGCACATTAGATTATTATCACCAGATTTTGTATTCTGACGCTTTTAGAAGTTTTTGTACAATGATTGACAAACCATACCACCAGCTAATCCTTGAACACATCGCAGAACCCCTTCTCATAGCATTTTGCTGTGATGGATGGCTGTAAGGTCGAGATGACGACTAGAGGGGGGGTTGAATAGCTGTTTCTAAATTTAATAGCGTCGGCTAACCGAAACAAGTGTGGAATTAAAACAATCGGTATAGCCAAGAATACACCCCTCTATCGAAGTTCACAGACACCTTATAAAGATTCTAATTATGCAACAAAGGTGTCGGGCTAGTTAGAGCTCACCTATCCAATTCAAGGAGAAATGTCACACAAACCTATGCCACTAGTATTTTGCACACCGGAGAGCTCCTACACAATTCTAGTAAGCAAAAGCACAAATCTTCTAAGCTTACTAGCAATGCTCAATAATAAGGCAACCAATGCCAAATTAGAGAGCGTAAATACTTAACTACACAAATTAAGCAATGTGACTAACAAAGTTACACAAATCAAATTAGTCACGCAAGGAAGCTACTTCTATGCTACACAAGCAAGAAGGTAATTAGTGAGCTACACAAGCTAACTAATTACAAGAGCAACTACACAATTACAATGTATATGAAAGTAACCACAAGCTTGTGTAAGGGGATTGCAAACCAACAGGAAAAACAATGTTGACATGGTGATTTTCTCCCGAGGTTCACGTGCCTGCCAACACGCTACGTCCCCTTTGTGTCGACCGCTCATTTGGTGGGTCGACAGCTAATTGGCATCACCTGCCAAGCCCGCACGTCGGGCACCGTAAGAACCTACCTCGAAAGTGAGAGTAGCTCAATGACACGCTCAACTAAAGTTGCTCTTTACGGCTCCCGCGGGGCGAGCACAATGGCCCTCACAAAGCTCTTCTCCGGAGCACCGCATAAGCTTCTTGCGGGCTTCAACGGAGACCACCACCAAGCCGTCTAGGAGGTGGCAACCACCAAGAGTAACAAGCACCACTGGCTTGTAAGACAATCACCTAGTGCCACTCGATGCATCCTCATGATGTAATCGCACTAGAATCGCTCTCTCACATAATCGAATGATCAATATCAAGCGTATGTGAGATGGAGGGCTCCTAAGCACTCTCAAGCATGGACACAAAGTCCCCCAAGGTGCTTAGTGCCAGCCATGGCCGAGACCACCTTCTATTTATAGGCCCACGAGCTAAACTAGCCATTACCCCTTCACTGGGCAAAACTCGGGACGACCGGACGCGCCGGTCGTATCGACCGGACGCACCCGGTCTAGCGTCCGATCAACGGATGCACGCCATGTGTCGCCTCCATTCAACCTCGTCGCTTGATCTCAATGGTCAAGTGATGACCGGATGCAGCATAGTGCCAAGACCGGACGCACCTCTGCTGAATCCGGTCGTTTCCAGAGAGGTTCCATTCACGACCGGACGCGTCAGCTGCTGTACGACCGAACACAGACCAACCAGAGTCCAGTAGTTTTCAGAGAGCTCCCCGAGCCTCTGTTTTGCGATTGGACGCGTCTGGTCGATCACGATCGGACGCAGCATCAGCATCTGGTCATTCTCCGACTGCCACGGGTCACTGCTGTTCCTCACGCCACCACGTTAGCGTACGTCAGCACTGACCGGACATAGACCCTGAGCATCCGGTCACTCTTTGCGCCAGCGTCCGGTCACAAGACCGAGCTGCGCGTTCACTGCTTCCACTGACCGGACGCGTCGGTCCTGCCGAGGCCAATGTCCGGTCACTCACAGTGACCTCCTTTCGTCTCCGTTTCTTCGCCGAGTTGATCCACATCAACTCTAACTTCTTCTCCTTAGTAAATGTGCCAACACCATGTGTATGTGTGTTAGCATTTTCACAATCATTTTCCATAGGATTAGCCACTCAACTTGCCACGCCACTTGATCCTAGCGACGATGCAAAGTTAGATCACTCGAGTGGCACTAGATGACCAATATGCAAACAAGTTTGCCCCTCTTGATAGTACAACCATCTATCATAAACCTGGTCATAAACTTCTCTACTAACCTATGACCGGTGAAATAAAATACCATAGGTTATACCTTTGTCTTGTGCATTCCATTCCATCTCCTCCATTGTTGATGCAACACATGCACCAACTAATCACCAAATGATATGATCCACTTCATATCATCATGTGATCTTGTTGGTTCATCGATCTTGACCTCACTTGCTTTTCACCGTTGCCTTCGTCCATCGGCGCCAAGTCTTGCTCAAGCTTCACCACCACGCAGTCCATCGCTCCAAAGCCTCCAACTTGCCCTTCACGCTTGCAACCGGTCCATCAAGCCAAGTCTTGTCTTGATCTTCTCCACCTTGATCACATGACTCAATGTCATGTCTCATGTGTAATGAGCTTCTTCATCACATGTGTGAGCTTTGCAACATCTCCGAGCCATTTTCACCTTCATGGCATATGTTGTTCACACACATGTACCTGTGGACTAATCACCTATGTATCTCACATAAACACAATTAGTCCACCTAGATTGTCACTCTATTACAAAAACCACACAAGGACCTTTTAATGGCCCCTCTAGCCAGTCACTTTGTATTACTCCCTCCCCGCCTCATCTTCATTCTCTCCCTCGCCGTCACTATCCTGATCAATATAGGTGTTTTCTACGACTACCTTCTGTCATGTCTTCACTCTATTGTCCTCCTTGTCACGATCAGTAACCTGCTTCCAGCTTACCTTTTTATTTTTAGCGCCCGGTGGCCTCCCTCTCTTTTTGTTCTTCATTGCTTCAAGCCTCATTCTATTATGTTCCAAGCTGAGGCACGTCCGCGCATTATGTGTAGCGTACTGCCCACAAGCCTTGCACTTTCTTGTGCTCAATTTCTCGCCCAATGCTACTAGGGTTACTGTTGCCTTCTTTGACTTTGTCTTGTTCCTACCCTTAGGCTTCGCTTTTTCAGGAGGCACCAGGCTTATCAATGTTGTTACATCCTGCAGACACAAAATCAGGTTTGTCAGTCCTTTAGAATATAAGTTTCAGAGTAAGAACAAATGCACACATAAACTAGTGCTCAACGTCTCTTGATTTCCATGCTTGCTCATCTACCTGTCCATGTTATGACACTGCTTCACTTGTTGCTGCTGCTGCCCTTTTCTTCCCTATGTCTTTATTGCAATCCAGCACATGGCTAGCCTCAACTCTACACGTGGTCCCAGATTCCTGGCACATGTTTTTCATTTAGCAGTCCATAGAATCAACAAAAATCAACATCACCCCTTGGTTACAATTCACTTGAAAGCCTATAATCATGTCTATGCTACTACAGATTTATTTCAAATCAGCATGAAGATCATGGTACATTATCAAGCCAAATACAGTAGAGCACATGAACTATGCCATATGTTGCATTCATTCATGATGGTGTAATTGACAAAAATTATGTGATAACATCAAGTCAGCACGGTAGTCTCCACACTGATTCACCAATTTTTCAGATAAAAAAATAACTAGTTAACTTGTAGTAGTGCTTGTCAAGCATGAAAAAATCTAAAGCTAACCAATTATGCTTGTGAACCGAAATGGAAAAAATGGAACCATTTTTTTTACAAATTGGAATAAACACAAACAAAAGCGACTAACACTAACAGTTGTTATAGATAAGGAGCACTACCGCTAATGAAATGTGTTTTTTAGTAACTAGTTAATACAACTTTCTAAACAAGGAATTATCTGACTAATCTTAAACCAGCTACTTCCCCTACAAATTTATTTCTTTACCAACTCATACTCAAATTTCGTTCTTACTTGGCAGGGAACAAAAATAGGATTCAGATGTTCCATTGCAATCACAAGCAAACTGACACATATTGTACAACTAACTTTATTCTATCTATTTCTAAAAGGGCTAAGTGCTATGGTGAAATTTCAGGCAGCAGTAATATAGGATCTAATGTAGCATTTGAAATAAACCAAAATCCACATCTCCATTTCACCTTTACCTTTCTTGCTGCTGCCTTCATTTGGTTTGTACAACCTCCATGTAGTAATTGGTTCGCAGCTGGTAAAATTTTCTGTCCACAATTGCAGATATATAGTCCAGAATTAACATATATGGTTCGGTAAGGTTCACCCCCACTTGCTTCATTACTTACTGAAAAAAAACATACCCGTGTTATCCTTGTCTCCTCACATCTTCCTTCTTCAATACTATCGTCGCTGCTGCTATCTCCAGAATTGGCCTACATGCCATATATAATTTAGAGA